TGTGTAAAACACCCAGAAATGTCACGGAAATTTACATGATCTACATTTTGTCCGGATACTTTTGGCAGGTGAGTGTATTCTTGTGGTGGAAACATCATAAAAATAGATTTCTCTGTTTTTTTCAAAGTTGGCTACTAAATACTTGTATGCACTTGCAACATCCACTCCAAGCGAGAGATTATTTAGTCAAGCTGGAAATACAACAACCTCAAAAAGAATGAAAAGATTGTTTTTTTGAAAAAAAAAATATTGATAATTTTGATAGAGTGAAATGATTAAAATAAATTTAAAGTTTTTTTGTTGATAATGAATATTCACCGAATATTCAATGAATAATCAATGAATAATCATTCACTGAAAAATTAATTATTCAAATGATTACCCGAATATTAATGGATTGAATGAATATAAACGAATGAATATTCAGTGAGTACGACCTTTAGATTGGTTGGTTGTAACAATCCAAAAAATATTATTGTATTGATTATATACATTATTAATGTTATGCAATTTGAAATTCACGCGCGTGAAATTTTGTATCCAAAAACCCACCCCAAAATTTAATCAAATTAGCACAAATTTGATTAACATTATATCGAAAAGGGGGCCTCGGTGGCACGAATTTCCACAAGGATCCTTTTTTATCATTATTATTTATTTATCTTGCAATCACCGACGTAACACGTCCACCCCATAATAAATTACCTACCATATAAGAGCAGAATCAATCGATCATTATATAAATTAGGAATAAAAGAATTTCTTTAATTTGTAAAACAATGGACAAAAATATAAATAATAAAAATATAAAAATGTAGTTTTTCCTTTTCATTTTAAAAATAAATATTTATCACCCATTCCCATTTAATTCTCACTTCGTTTTAGTTTTTTTAAATACCTGTGTCAAACTCACAGGTGAAAACCTCGATATAAATTTGACTATCAAAAAATTGGATTCAAAAAAATGCGAACAAATTTATTGCTATCATTGTTCTTGGTAACAATAATTGTTTTGGTGTCGATTGTCTCGGCGCAAAAAGTTCCCAAGGGTGCGTAAAATTATAATTAGTATATAATAATAACGTTTTGAATTATCAATTGAATTAATTCGATTTTTTATTTTAGTCGATGCACCTGATTTACCTACAAGCAAAGATGATGCACCATCACCATCGCCGTCTCCTAAACCACAACCAAAACCAGAGCCAGAGCCAGAGCCACAAGCACCAAAACCAAAACCAGAGCCACAAGCACCACAACCAAAACCAGAGCCACAAGAATCACAAACACCTCCTCCAAAAAAACAACCAGAATCACAACAACAACAACCAACACAACCACCACCACCACCACCACCAACAACAACAACAACAACAACACCACCACCAACAACATCATCACCACCATCTTCTTCCTCTAAACAAACCGAATCCACTGAAAGTCAATCTCAATTACAACCAACAACATCTCAAACAATTCAACAATCATCAACTCAACGTATGTATACAATAATAATAACAATATAAATGTGATAATCGTTAGATATAATTTTTTGTTTATTAAAGATAATTTTATGGATTAATTTAAACCCTATTGTACAGAAACAGTTCCGGTGACTCCAAAATCAATTTCACCTCAATCAATCCCCACAACGACATCATCACCTGTAATTCTTACTACTAGTCTTGCTCCATCACCAACTCAAAATACAACATTGGGACAGGCTGAATGTGATAAATTCACAAAAACTTGTCGTGATGTAAATTGTGCTTTCAAAGATTATACTGCAACATGTGAAAATGGGGGGAAATGTAAGTATTGTATTTATATTTTTAATAATAATAATAATATTATTATTATTACCATTTAAATTAAAATTTCGAACATTTTTAGGTACGTGTACTAGCGGATTCCAAAATTCATTGAATGATGGTAATAGAATATCTATACCCTCATCAATCTATTACAGCACACTTTTGGTCATCATAACTTTTCTCTGTAACCTATATTATTACTAGAAATTATAGAATAATTAAACAAATTGTACTAATATATCATGTGATTTATACCATTTTTATTGGTCGAATATTAATTGTTAAAATTAAGAAAAACAGACTAACCAAAGGAATTATTCGATCGAAATCTCTATCCAAAGGTTATTTATATAAATAAACAAATAATTTCAAACTTTAATTGATATATAAATAAAAAATCCCGTAATTGCCATGTTTTTCTACAAAAATTGGACTTTGCCAATCATTAAGGGTGGAGTGATCGACCATATATTTTTATTTAATAAGAAATGATCAAAATAATTTTTGAGAGTAACATCACGTTTTATTTCACTTTGAAGGTTAATAAAATAAAAAAACTACAAATAAGATTTATAAATATATATTTCAAGGTTTTCTCTTCATTTCAGTACCAAAAAAACCAACATGTATTTTGTAGGTTACTGAGAAAATACCTTTAAAAAATAATAACTCTTGTGAATGAGTGGGTAAAAAACACAAATGATATATGTTTTTATTAATATTATGATTAAATATTCACAATACTCATAATTACTTATTTTTTTTAATAGAATTACAACCAAGTAAAGCAAATGAAGAGTGTAATGATGGGAAATAGTGTATTTCGTTGTAGTATAGTAAATATATAGTTCACTCTCTATAATGGACCATTTGGTTTATGAAAAAATGTCCATTAGCAATATATGGGACATATAAATTGGGCTTAATTCTCAGTCCATTATAGAGCAAGATCCTCCATTATCATCATTATCATCATCATCATCATCATCATCATCATCATCATCATCATCATTAAGGCTCCGAACAGATCGGATCAGATCGGATTTGGTGGAAATCTGATCTGATCTGAAATCTGTTTAAGCTGATCTGATCCAATCTGGTTTTTTAAAATAATGGATCTGATCTGATCTGATCTGGTTCTTTAAAATACTGGATCTGATCTGATCTGATCTGGTTCCTCAAATACTGGATCTGATCTGATCTGATCTGGTTCTTTAAAATATTGAATCTGATCTGATCTGAAATCTGATCTGATCTGATCTGAAATCCGAAATCTGATCCAAGATATTACCGTAAAGTAGCACTTCTGTGACATTGCCTTTTTAGTAAATTTTATGGTTTGCCACGGAGCACTATCTTTCCAGACTTTATGATATAAATAATAATAAAAATTTTTATAAAAAAAAAATTAATTTTTACAATTTTTACAAATTAAAGAATTTTATGAATTAAGAATTTTTATGAATTAAGAACTTCTATGAATTAAGAATTTTTTTATATGAATTTATGAATCAATTACTTTATGAACTATAATGGCAAATGTTATTATTAATAATGATTCGGATCTACCAGAAGATGTAACAACAGTAACTGTTGATGATAATAATAATAGAAAAAAAAGAAGAAGTGAAGTTTGGGAGCACTTTACTTTTGCTAATGATAAAGCAAAGTGTAAACACTGCATTGGGTAAATATTTTAATGAACTTGCAGTTTTCAAAAAACATATTCTTATTTATTTGAAATAATATATTTTTCAGAGGTTCATACACTTCAAGTTGTAGTAATTCTAGCGCTGGTAATCTTTATAAACATTTGAGAAGTCAACATCCAACTAAGCTTAATACCAATAAAAAACATTGCAGTAACCGGGACTCTGAATCATTTTATGCAATCAAAAAAATTACCAGTTAGTATAGAATTCTGAATAATAATTTGTTAAATTAATTTTATAATTGCTTATTTTTAATTTCTTTTTATCAGCCTTTTTCAGCTGAAAGCTTTCGAAATTTTCTTATACATTGGATTGTATGTAGTAATCAACCATTCATTGAAATAGAAAATGAAGAATTAAAAAATCTGTTGCGGTTGTTGTGGCCTGGAGTTCCTTTACCATCAGCAGATACTATAAAGAATGAAATTATTAAATCATTTGATAAAGAACGTTCTAATCTGAAAGAATTATTACAAGTATATAAACATATAATATATACTGTGTTTATATCAATTTTTATATTTATATTAAAATTTTAATTTTTATTATATTGTCATTATTGTTAGAATATCCCAGGGCATATCTCCTTCACATTAGATTGCTGGACTTCTGCAAATACAATTCCTTTTCTAGGAATAACAAGTCATTGGATAAATATTGATTGGCAACTCCAAGAAACATTGATAGATTTTGTAAAGCTATCTGGTCCCCATTCTGGGGATAACTTGCGAGAAGCATTTGTGGCTTCATGTAGAGACCTTGGAATATTTGCAAAGGTAATTATTTTAAAAATAAGCATATTTAATTCAATTAAATTTAATTGATTAATATATTATTTCCAAATATAGCTCTTAGCTGTTACAACAGACAACGCTATGAATAACAATACATTTGTTAGTTCTTTAGCTGATATTTGTTATAATGAGGGTATTAATTTTGATATTGATAATAATCATGTGCATTGTCTTGCTCATGTCATGAATATTGCTGTTCAACATGCACTTAAATCACTAAAAGCAACAGCTGCTAATAACGAGGATGAAGTTTTAAATATTGATGATAATGACGTGAATGGTTTCCATACTATAATGAAGGTAAATCTTAAAACCATTTTTATTTCAGTAAATTGTGCACTTGGTGTACTTATTATATTTAATGTAATGATTTTTTAATTCTCTAGCTACGTAAATTAATTGTAAAAATTAAATCATCTCCGCAACGACGGGAAAGGTTTTCAAAGGCTTGTGAATTAGCCAATTTAAAATATAAAGAATTGATTTTAGACATAGTCACACGTTGGAATTCTACATATGAAATGATTATGTGTGCTATTGAATATAAAGAGATAAGCATTTAAATGCAATTTATATGATTAATTTTAATTTATTAAATGAGTAATGATATAAACATGTTTTCTATTGTTTATAAGCTGTAGAAAGTGTGGGAAGAGCAGATAGAGACATGATTAAATGGGTGTTAAATGAAGAAGAATGGTCAAAGCTTGTTGAAATTTCTCAATTATTACATGTAAGTTAATTATTATTTTTTTGATGCAATACTATTACATCAATTTTTTTTTATATTAACTTATTATTAATTTAATATATGTTTTGCTATTTAGCTTTTTTCACGTGCAACTAAACATATTTCTACAAATCATTATCCAACTCTTACTTCAACAGTTCCTATATTTAATTGGCTAATTGATAATCTTGAAGATTATGAACACAATTTAAATGGTACAAGTGATATTAAAGGAAAAGTTAAAGAAGTGATTGAAAAACTTAAGTTTTATTATATTAGGACTGATGCTTCTGTTTATACTATTGCTACAAGTAAGCATAATGGTTTTAGTTCAATATAAACTACAATAATTTATACTAAATTGATATTTTTATTAGTCCTTGATCCAAGGCTCAAGTTAGATTATTATAGAGATAACAATTGGGAAGCAAATTTTATAAACAATGCACATCAAGTTATCAAAGATATATACCAATCTGGATATGCACCAAATTTGACTGTATTTAGCAATTCTGAAAATAATGATATTGAAGAAGAAGAAGATCTTACTTCTCATATTTACAAACGTCAACAAATTGTCAGAGATGATGATGAATTGGATGCATATCTTAAATCACCAAATGCACCACCAAAAACTGATGTATTGACTTGGTGGAAAGTAAGTAAATTTTTATTTAAATTATTGTATATAAATATAGATAATTAAATTCACATGTTTTGTTATTTGTTATTCTCCAGAATCATGAGTCAGAGTATCCACATTTGGCATTGATGGCAAGAGATTATCTTGCCATCCCAGCAACAAGCATGCCAGTTGAGAGAATTTTTTCAGGAGGAACTGATCTAGTGACAGCAACCAGGTGTAGTTTATCTGCAAGCACAATTAGAGCTTGTATGTGTCTTAGATATTGGTGGAAGGGGGTATTAAAGAATCAATTATGAATATATGTAAAAAAAATTTTGAATAAATAAAATTTTATATTAATTATCTATAAATCAATCTGGTCTAGTTTTGATCTGAGTTTTGATCTGATCTGATCTGGTTCAAAACAGATTGCATTTTTATAGGATCTGATCTGATCTAATCTGATCTGGTTCTAATCTGATCTGATCTGTTTAAACAGATTGCAAATTTAACAGGATCTGATCTGATCTGGTTTAAAACAGATTGCAATTTAATAAGATCTGAACTGAACTGAACTGAACTGGACAGAACTGAACTGATTTTGATCTGATCTGTTCGGAGCCTTAGTTATGTCAATTATAACATCAAACATATTGCATAATAATCATGACCATCACGAATATTTGATGGATGGAGACATTCACATACAAGGAATTGATTAAACAGCTAAGTCATGTTTGTTTTATCAAAGATGTATAATTAATTATATTTAAAAAATTATTATTTTATTTCACCTTTGTAATGGCATTAATTTCAGTTGAATTAATGTTATTAAATGTTTTTTTTAAAAGATAATTCATCAAATGATTTTTGTTACATTAAAACAGAGAAAGCTTTATTTTCAAGATTAATCAAAATCAAATTGATAAATCAATACTAAGCAGTTCTGACTGTGGAATATATCATAATTCAGCATTAATAAGTTTTTACAATTTAGAGCTACTTGATATTACTAATAATGAATTCTATTGCATTTGTTATTTTACTGGAGTAGATGATACTTATAGAAATGATTTGAATCTGACAGAAGGTTTTATTTGTTAGAAGAAATAGAAGTATATAAACTGGCATACAAAATTATGGTTTTTAAATAATAATAAATAAGATTGAGATATCTTTTAATTTTTATCTCTATTTCTATTAAAAATTATAATAGCAAACTTATTTCAAA